GAAGAATTTAACTTATTTTTTAAAATTTTAAAAAATTCTGTAAACAAGTTTTTTAACTGAGACATGCTAAGAAAAGCAAACAAAAAATACTTTTAGTGGGCATGAAAAATGGTTCGAATCATGATAAATTCATGAAACATAAATTTAGCATGAATACATTTTAATCTCTCAAAATTACAAAAATGAAGCTTTTTTGATCTGCCTTCTTTGTTTTCTTGTTCTTTCAAATTTTGAAAGTACACGTCAATTTTTGCACAGAATATAATAAAGGCTAAAATTTAATTCCAACTCATTATATAATCAGAGGAAAATATAAAATTTGTATAGATTAAAATCTAAAAACTTTCTTTGAATTTCACACTGAAAGAGAAACCGATTCAAAGTCCCTCCGGTTATGCCTTATACAAGGGAAGTAATTCTTAAAAAATATTAGAGTTATTTCCCTTGAAATTCTCGTGACGCCATTTATTTTTATTTTGATAGATAATTTGATATAAATTTAAAATAATAACGAGTTTTTTCGAAGAACCAGTTATTTCTTTTACGAAGCACATCTTTCACATATTATTATAATCTGCTTACATAAATCCTTTTCAGATTCAAATTTCTTTGAGATTATTTTTTTTTGTTTTTTAATGTACATTTTAATGTGCATGTTTGATTTGTTTGGGATATATTTTGTTTGTTTTTGCTTTTGATTTTTTAACACTGGAGTCCGTCCAATCCAAGGCTCAAGAGCCCTTCGTGGTAGAGGGTTATTGAATGAAGTGTGTGATACGAATGTAAGTGTTAGTCGAAGATTGTAATGATAAGGAGGATAGATTGCGATTTGATGAGGCGAAGATTGTAGAGTTCCACAGAATAGCAGTTCTCGGGAAAAATATGTTAATGTAGAACTTCCTCCTTACAAATGGTATGCAGGGGAAAAGTGAGTGATTCGAATCTCTGAAATAACATTTTAGCAGTAAAGGTCTGAACTGGTTGAACTTGAGTAGCGAACTACTTATTTAGCTTACTCAGCTAATGCAGAATCACTGTGTAGAACAAATTTCTTTTGAAAGAAATTACCTTCGTAAAATTTATTTGAAAGAGTATTTTTTTATCAGTGACAAATAAAAAGGCAAAATAAAAGTAAGTAAAAAAGGCAGCAGAGAGAACTAAGTTTCACAGCAAGGATACAGTTGCAGTGGAGGCGGTAAGAACATTAAGTTTAAGGCTCCAAATCAGGAAATCTAGTTTGTGATGTAATTGAAAATATTTTCCAAAACTTGGACTTTTGAAGTGTGTTTTCGCACTTTTAGGAGAATTAAATATGTTCTCAAGTGCCATCATTTTGGGAGATATTTGAATGACCAGAACTACCAAATTTTGTATTTCACTATTTGCGACCTTTTCGGCAAATTTTGGTTACTAATGAAATGAAAATTTATTCCAAATTTATTCGTATTGTACCTTCATATAACGCACAGATTGCCTACTTGTAGATGAATCTGGCAACTCTGTCAAACACTCACTCAGACATTTAATTCATACAAATTTATCAGATTATGACATTGAGGCATCTCAGTTTCAATTCAACAGTTTCAACTTTAGTTTCGTAACTGAAACTTCATTACTACTGATCAAATATGCCCCATTAATATCTCACTTTGCTGCCGCTCCTTCATAGTGTAGGAATGGAAACTCGACACAGGTGCAGCTTCTGTCCAATTTTAGAACCTCTTAATATATTTTCTCTTTCTTGTTGATGTCAATCTTAGTTTAGTCAGGTATTATATATATATATATATATATATATATATATATATATAGAGAGAGAGAGAGAGAGAGTATAAACATAATAATGTCTTAAAATAATTCTCGGACTTTGTCCATTTCATAATGTGTGACGTCATTTGTTTACATTTGAATACGCATCGAGTAGATATAAATATACGTGAGAAAATAATGGAAAATTGTAGTTTAAAGTCTGTAAAATCGAACTTTCTAACCGAAACGCTTGTGGCGAAATCGGTAAAACCACATCAGACTATATGACGGTTCCGTATAAGATACAGGTTCGATTCCTGTTGGAGGACGCATATTATCTATGGACATTTCTCGGAATTCAAGCCGGCCAATGTTGTTAATACTGTTTATTATAAAACAGAGCATTTACTTAAATATTTGTCTCTATAAAAAAAATGTATAAACATAAAAATGTCTTTATATATATATATATATATATATATATATATATATATACAATTTGTGACTGGTAGGGTTAATTCAAAGGTGAATATTAATACAAAGAGAGTTCAGTTTAAATTACGGAGCATATAATAATAAATAAAGAAAAAACTTAAGGATCCTTTTCGGTTATAATTTATTTCGTTAATATTTTTATATATTCATCTCTTCAGACCGAAAGTTATTAATCTTAAAAGATTAAGAACTTTCGGTCGGAAGAGATGAATATATCAAAATATTCACAAAATCTTTTTTGATATATATATATATATATATATATATATATATATATATATATATATATATATATATATATATATTCTGTTTATACGTTATTTTTTATAGATATAAATATTTAAGTAAATGCTCTGTTTATAATAATAGTTTAGAATTTACACGCCTGAATGTCCGAGAAATTTCTGGCCGAAAAACGTAGTAAATACTGGTTATTATAAACAGAGCATTTACTTAAATATTTGCATGTATGAAAAATAACGTATAAACAGAAAATATATTAACAAAATTGTCGGACGTATTCTATTTTATTATGCGCACACACACACACACAGACATATATATATATTTGTGTCTGTGTGTGTTTATTTGTCCGTGCGTGCATGTCCCTGTGTGTGTATGTCTGTGTGTGCGTTTGATGGGATAGCAAAACATGCATTGAAATTAATCTAAAATAACCAACTAAACACTATACTATTTGATTCGAAACTAAATGCAGAACAAAAAGCATATTGTCAGCCATTAAAGTCACGTGATTTTCAGCAATATGGATACAGAAGGACAAACGACGATAAAGCGGAATAGAGACTTCAATGGCGTATTCATACGTGAAATAACTCAAAACCCCAAGTCCGCCTGAAGGGCCTGAATGTCCATAGTGACGATAAAATTCACACAGTGAATACAATTTTGAATTATCGAAACGACCAATACCTCGAGGAATCGGCCTTTGGTATCAAGGATACCTTCAAGATCAAACAGCCAGCCCAATTTATGGTCTTGAAAGTTGTGAAAAAAATGTCCTTCTCTTCGCATTCTTCTATAAATTTGGGGAAAAGTTGTGTCATTATGTCTACTACAAGTTCCATGGATCAACTACCCAGAGAAAAATTATGTGTGAAGTCGGAACAGTGCTCCCCATGACACAGTCAATAAGAGGCAGATGTTTTCCAAAGTTAACTTTGTTAATTTCTGGCTAGTTGATTTCAGGCTCTTTAGCCGGCAACATAACCAGATAGACTACACCGTGTCGGACGTTTTGAAAGATCTCTCGCTCTAACATCAATATCCTCTAGGTTACGACTAAGGAACATTGGATGGAGATATCCAAGAACTTTGTGGTTAAGATTTGCGCAGCTTTTATTGAAGCTGGAATGGAAACCTCATTAAATTATTCGTTTGAATATTATCTTTTTTAAAAATCGAATTCACCAAATACAAGGCAGTAAAGCCACATTTATATTTTTGAAAATTCAAGTTGGCAAGGGAAACTTTTACCTAGAACTTACGGTTGCATCGCGCCAACTCAACTATAAATTGCCGAGACGTCGTTGCTAGTCTAGTACTGCGCTTAAATTCATAAATTATAGGTACCATAGACCCCATCCAAACAATTACCACGGAAGTATTTATAAAAAAGGCACAGGGAGGCAAATTTACGGCGGGGGCAGGAATTGAAGCCGAGACGCCAGATCAGGACCAATAATATTGCTGATTCTTCTTTAGATTTTATCAAGAATATCTAGATATATTGCAGGAGCACCAGACCATACGTGGCAGCAATATTTTAAGCATGGACGAATGATAGACTTATAGATATCTAAGATAGATTCTGGAGAGAAAAACTGTCTCGCTCGACACAGTGAACCAATTTTCTTAGCAGCTGACCTAGCAATAGAGTCAAGATAGTCTTTCCATCTCATGTCAGCCGAGAACGTTAGCCCTGAATTTTTCACAATTCTCGTCAGTACATCAGCAGTTGATCTAGAGGAATGAAAGCCATATTGCTTGTCTGAAAGAAGACCCCGTGATGTAAGAGGTTTAACCAATTCAAGACTGATTAGAACCATGAAAATGTCCAAAGCAACATCCTAGGCTCCACCATTCTTATCTGGAGCTTGGCAGGATCTTTCCGCAATTATCGTCACTGCATCAGCAGTTGACCTGGAGAAACGAAAGCCATATTGCTTGTCTGAAAGAAGGTCCCGTGATGTGAGATGTTTAGCTAATTCAGGATTGATTAGAGCCTTATCACCTTTTTTAAAAAAGAAAAAAACCCTGAAATAGGGAAAAAACCGTTAAAAAGGAAAAGCCTTTTAAAGCCAACGGTTCATATGCATTTTCGGTACATTATTTACCCCCAGAAAAATGACAAAATACCTCGAATAATATCGAATGAAATAAACATGGCAGTCAAGAATTAAATGTTAAAGCTAGGTACCTCCACCCTTTCGGTATAAATTTTCGATGCTTAAGGTTTGAAATGAATTTTTAAAAATGAAAAAGCATTCTTGAAGATTTAATTTTAGCTATCATTGAAAGCTAAATGATTAAATTTACTTTTTCCAATAAGTAAAATATTCTGGTGTATTTCAAATAGAAAGTATATAGATCGGCATCTCAACATTTTGGTCGATTTCAGGAAATCTTTTTACAAGCGGTCATTTTCTTAATTTTAAGAAATTTGTAAACAAAACAAAATTATCAGTTTTAAAAATCTTTCAAAAATAAAATATATATTTGTAACTGGTTATTTTATGACGTCTACCCTGGCCGTTCCGTATTCCTGCTTGATCCCCTCGATTGATCGTAGAGTTGATCGTTTCGGCCCAAATCTTGTCTCGACCCATGTTGTGATCGCCATTGATCGCAAGACTTACTTGGTTCGAATGGCCGACTGGAATCGATGTCTTGGTTTGGTCCGGTCAGAGTAAAGTCACACGAAAGAGAAAAAAATAAGTTGGATAAAAGAAAAAGAAATATTTATATGCAATTCCTCGATACAAAGTTGATGGTACAGTCAATGATGGTTTAAGCAGGCTATACTTTCCATGTAATAACTATCGACCCTTCCCGATTATCGTGACACACTTTTGTTAGAATTTTGGAACGAAACTTCTGGAACAAGGCTTTAAGTCTGAGGCTTTTTCTTCAAGGCGGCAAATCACAGGTGAGACGGTCGTTCTCTGCTCTCTCTGCAGTCTCTCTGCCGTAGTCTGTCCTCGGTTTCTCCACCGTCTCTATCTCTCTGCCGTAGTGTCTCGGCGTTCCGTTTTTATGGACCCTGCGCAAAGGCTGGGGACCACCCAGCATTATGTGCTCTGGGAATGCCCGCGTTCTCCAATCAACAAGTTAGGGCTTTCCCTGCAAATGTCTAAATATGGTGGAGCCCCTCCTCCCTCCTTGGGATTTTACCTGAGACTTCTCCTTCTTCTGGTCACATGATCAAAACCCTGTCTCTGTCTTGCTTTGTGTGAGTGCCACTTACCATCACTGCCCAATGGGCGAGGAAAGTCCTCCGCCTTCCCTGAAATTCCACCTGGGCCTTCTCCTCCTTGGTCACCTGACCAAACCCGTCCCCTAAGTGCTGGGCGTGGTCTAGACCAACCGCCAATTTTTTTTTAATTGGCGTTCAAAATTCTTTCTTATCGTGCTTTTGTGTGTGGTCGTTTTCGCATCTGGAATTTATCATTTTTATCCCATCGTCAACCCTTTGGTCAACAAGTGGCAAAAAGGGAACAATCCTTTTTGGTTCAGAAGTTAGGATTAAAATTCTCAAAATGGTTGAGCTCAAGTCAGCTTTGCTCTGAGTTGCAACGACCAATTCACTTACTTCATGAGTAGAGCTGCCAAAACACGTCCGAATGATATCTTTGGAAAGTGAAAAGAAAATGATTCTGTCCTTTCCGGAAGTGGGCGGTCATAAAATCGCACATGTGACCAAAAATCCTTTTCGTTTTCTTTACTACTTGCGTCATGGGAAAAATGAATTTATTTTTCGTTTTTTTTTAAAGTCTTTATTAATATTTTATTTATTGGTTTCATTTCATTTCCCCACAGGCAATTGACTTTTTACTACTCAAAAAAGAGTCCAGGAAGTCTTCAACTTGAAAGAAAGTCAATGGGCATTAGTATAACTAAGAAGTTGTATCGAAACTAATCCACTTCAAACATTACAAATAGCTGCATTAAGATTCATTACAAAAGATGTCACTGTATATAATCACTAAGTGACGTATTAAATGCATGCATGAAATCTTGACTAGTTTATTTTCTCTTTATTTTCTCTTTTTTTTTTTAAATACATAACATACAAATTAAGCGTACGAAAAATGTTTCAGTGTTTATTCATGAATTTGGTTTGTTTATAAAAAAAATAATGATGAAATAGAGCAATGTAATGGTGGAATAGAGGTAAGATAAAGTCTCTTTGTCCCTTAAAAAAGTGGACGATTACGGCTCGCCTCACTGCAGTTATCGTTAAAATGAAACCTTAACTATTGTCTCATATTCTTCCTTCAGTGATTCATTCATAAAAGTGATTCATTCATAAGAGTGAATAAAGCTTTAAACATATTTTAATGCATTTTATAGGAAAATCATTTGCAGCACATTTTTAAATAATTTACGATGCATTAGTGTACATTTATATTCTCTCTCATTCTCTATTTATCTCTTTATCTCTCTCTATCTTTCTCTTTCTCATATATATATATATATATATATATATATATATATATATATATATATATGAATAAAGACAAAGTGAAAATTTATCGCAGCCGACTCGTTGTGTCCTCTGATGGACTTTATCAAGGCAAATGTAGGATTTCATTTTACAACAAATATTTAGAAAAACAAAAGAAAAAAATACTGTTAGTTATTCAAAATTTTTAATTTTAAGAAACACTCATAAATATTCATGAGGCTAACTGAAAAGTCAAGGTAAATTATGGAAGATCTTAAGTGACATAATTTAATGTTTAATAAACAAAAGTGAGTAAATAATGTTGCTGAAGTTTTATAATGTGTATTAGTATTTATATAATTTTAGGTTGGGATCAAGGCCATACCTGTTAATAGGCCAGATCATGCAGCTGGAGACTCTTACTGTGAATTTTCTTAGATAATCGATATAGCATTTATAAACAGAGGGAAAATGCTCTGTGAGATTTTTTATGTCTAATATACTAAAACAAGAACCATAATGAGTTAATTTGTAAATCTGACGATTATTGACGAATTCCTATAAACGAAGAGACAAGTAACTTTGAATAAACAGTTGCAAATGCATTATATTTCAATGAGTGATTTTTATTTCCATGTAGGATTTTTTTAGAGAATTTGTATTTGTGTCAAAAGATCAGGACTTGTATAATTGTGCTTAAAAAAGCATCCGTACCAGTTCATGATATCAAGCACAGAAACATAGTTTTTTTTTCTTTCAAATCTGATAATGTGTTTTACTAACCAAAAATTTAAACTGTCCTCATTTTGATTGTTTTCAACACAACATTTTGGCTATAGTCTTCATTTCGTATCATAAAATAATCCCAAAACAAACTTGAAACTAAAATTTCAGCATCCAAATCTCTAGTGTGGTCTTGTAGTCGATTAAACTATGCAAACAAATCCACTAAAATGAAAGATGGGATAAGAAAAAAATAAACACATTTACTAAAATGGAAGATGAAATAAAATAATACGATGTCCATAGATTAAATAGAAGGTTTAGTTAAAAATTCATAGGTAATCCTATAAAATGGACTGTATTCAAAGCAATAAGTTACGATAGCCGAAATATTGTGGTAAAACATGTTACAATTTTTGGATACATTATGTACTAGTGAGTTAGCCCAAATGACTTGACTCACTTTATAGTCCACCAATAAAAGGTTAACCAATCAGAAGATGTAGAATATTCAATCCGTCGTGTATAAAGGCGGCCATTTTGTTTACTCTATTCGAATGTCCAGTCCAGCTTGTCAGGCGAAGAGAAACAGAAGGACGAACTACGCTCTGCTACTTTTACCAAAATGTCCACTGCTAACCTGAACAACGCTTTCCTACTGTCTTTAAAATATTCACTGCTAACCTCTGGATTCTATACTCAAAGACGACCGTCATCATGAACAACAATGACGACATATTAAAGAGGACATTACTTCGAAAAATTTCCATGATTACTAAGGAAAGTTCTTCACCTCAAAATATCTGAAAGAAGTAATTCTTTTGTCTCATTAGTGATATTTTATCACCCACCCAAAGAGTGTTCGTTCTTTTAGGGTGGGGATAGAGCAAAGAGAAAAAGCACTCCCCGAGTCCCCTGCTTCACCATAAAAGAAAAATTCAAAAACCACAAAAAATCACTTTATTCTTCAAATGTTGGTACACATTGGTAATGCAGAAATAGTGAGTTCTTTTTTTTCTAACGATCAATTATTTGCTTTTACTGATCAGAAAGCATAAACAACAAAATCCGATATTAAAAACAAAGTGATTTTACCTTTTACAATAAATTAGAAAAAAGCTTAAAGATATATATTTGCACCATATCACAGGAACAAGTGAAATAGATTTGATGAGTGAGAATTTCCTTTTAGAAAAAATGTTCTATGTTTCGGATCAATGAAAATCAGGTGTTACCAGCTAAAAAATTATTTGATGACTGAGATTGGCTGCGAGAAAAAATGTAGTTTTCTGGCCTCTTGATAGGTATGGTCCTTGGTTGGGATTAATTTATGTAATAAATATTTTTAAAAAAGGAAGAATACTTATTTAACAGTTTTGTTTTAATTTTTTTTTAAATTTTATAGTCATGTATTCTGGCTAGAGAAAAGAGTAATTCTTTCAGAAAAGAAGACATTTGAAAAAATCCGGGGCGCAGATTTATATTTTGATAAGATTCAATAACGACACTCTCAAGAATTTTAATTTTTTTATATTTTTGTAGTCATGTATTTTGGCGTGGGATAGGAGTAATTCTTTCAGGAAAGGAGATATCGGCACTCACATGAATTTTCCGTCTAAGTTATTTTCTCTTTTAATAAATGCGGCATTCATCAGATCAAAGTTGCGGTTCAATTTATTTCTATATATGACCAATTCATTCCGTTCCGTTTTGGGTGAGTTCTGGCTTCTTAAATACACACACACACACACACACACACACACACACACACACACACACACACACACACACACAGATATATAAATATATATTTATGTTTACATCCGCTCTATCTCTGATATTGAGCACTTCATCCCGTAAATATAAGGTGTATTTAAGCAGCGAAAATTCACCCAAACAAGTTTTATTAAATAACACCGACAAGGTCTCTCTATTTAACTTTTTATATCGTTTTACCAAATTTACGACTAAGGTGTTATGGGGATTAAAGTTATTAATAAATTGACCATAGTTCATTTATTTTTACATTCGACTGTCACAGTCATTTGTTCATTTCGACGCTCCTATTCATTGTCAAGAATTCTTCGTGATCCTTATGTTTAACAAAATGCCTTTTTTTTTTGTTTTTAGATTGTTGGAAATAGAATTCAGTTAAAGTGTGTGAAAATGAAATAAAATCAATAAATAATAATAATTTCCCTATGATGCTAAAAATAACGGAACTGGAAATATTATTACCCCCTTTGGTTTCCTCAAACGTCGTTAAGCAACGCTATTGAAGCTTATAAAAAGGCAAGCGTTTTCTGCTTCATCTTTTTTTTTTTCTTTTTTCAAATATGTGGTACCACATCGTAATTACGTTGTGATGAACCTTAGTTTCCCCGGTCCACTGACGACTGAACTCTTTTTCCACTTCTCGATGCAGGGCACTCGCACGTGTCTTCCAAATGCCTCAACCTATGAAATAGGCCAACTTTCTCTTTGGCTGTTACAACGCAGCGCAAGGCTGACTTGAGCGCGACCACAGCAACGATGCTTGAACTGATTTACCCTAACTTCTGGACCAAGAAAAAGGAATGGACATCCCATAACCATAAGTAAAACTTCCCTTTGGTTGTTCCAACTTTGCGCAAAGCGAACTTGAGCTCGACCATATATATAATACTTATAGTTACTTACGCTAACTTCTGGACCAAAAAGAAAACGGATATACCAAAGAGACATTGAGAAATTTGTTCCATTACAGTCACTATAAAAACAGAACAAATTTTTCTTTGCTTCTATCTTCTTTCTTTACAACTGAACACGCACTTTTACCTAAAATACACACCAACACGCAACCTTGTTAATCTTCATAAAAGCATTTATACGTATTTTTAAATACACATTTCAATATAGGATCTCCCATGAAGAAATATATTTTATTTAATGTTGCTTGTTTCTTTTGTCTTATAATGGCTTCTAGAATTTGGAGTCTTTCTTTGCAATGAGTCGTATAAAATGTTTGGTGTTATCTATTAATATTTATTTTATC